CGGGGTCACTTTCACCTTCCTACAGGGAAAACGAGTTGCATTAAATCATCTGCCTGTAAGTACATAAGTACACGCTGTGCAGACCAGGCTGCGTGCAGTACACATAGACGGACTGTGTAGTTTTGTCAACTACTGCATCCAAACTCGCACGCATTCCGTCTTTCTGGTTTAATCTTACCACTGGGCTCAGGAGGGTGGGGGGAGCGTGCGGCAGATGCACCGTGAGTCTGGTATCACTAATAAACTAATGCACGTGCCATTCTTCGTCCTACGTCCACCACGCTGTGTGGCCCACGATAGGTATCGTCGTTAATGACGATACTGCAATAGGTTACCTACGGGGATACCAATTTGGGATCTTTAGGGTTGCAAAAATTCCCATCAAAGCATTCAGAAGACTGGTTTGGCGAGTACACTTATAATTTCGACAAATTCTCGTCAGGCCTTACATTTCTATGGAAACTGGGTGCAAGTTCAAACGCGTTTGTATTTTCGGACAAGTAAGTCGTGGGAATGGGGGTGGGTTCGATAAGTGAAGGCTGGTTGTGAGGGTAGGGTTTGATGAAGCACCCTACCCCATTCCCACGACTTACTTGTCCGAAAAGATGAACACGTTTGAACTTTCACCCAGTTTCCATATAAATCTAAGGCCTGACGAGAATTTGTTGAAAGTATACGTGTACTCGCCAAACCAGTCTTCTGAATTTGGGATCTGTCAAAATTTAACCGTAATGACATACTCCATCTTCAACTGACCAAGATACGCTTCAAGAGACAGAAACCTGAAATGTTGTCAGTGCTCAGGGTGTGAAGGCAGTACATATAAGAGTACACTGGAGACTCGGGTGACGAGCAACCCCATCTACGAACAGTTCAGATAACAAGCGAGCCACTCGCAGAAAATATGTTTCGATTGACAAACGTCCGCTCAGTTAACGAGTTGAAAGTGCGTATGTGTGTGTGCCTATGTCCATCACTGAGTCTTGTTCCGAGGGCGGGGGTCCTCGGGCACCTGCGGTAAATCAATAAACTGATGCAGTTTTATTGACTAATATTCCGGTCCCACTAGACTGAACTTCACAAAAAGAGAGAGCCCGTCAGACTTAGAGGTGGATTTTCTCTCCATACCGCTACCCTTCCCTACCTCCTCATCGTCTCCCCAAGTTACCAGTGACTCTTCATAAGGCAAAGTACAACTGAAAACAGTAGAAAACATTTACAATAATTAAATATACAATAATTACCTCATAATATTTCATATTTATGTTTTTCGGGGTTGGGACGGATTAATTTTATGTCCATTACTTTAAATGAAGAAATTCATTTCCCATTACGAGCTTGGTGCCGGAACGGATTAAACTCGTTAACAGAGGCTCCACTATATGATTAAATGTCAAGGATCAAAATAAAGTGCTACTAAAATAAAATATTAAGGCGGTTCGGTAACATAAAAGTCAGCTTCTAAATAGTAGAATTAAACGCTTATTAGGCTGTCGGATGATATGTGCTGCTAAGTTCTGCATAAATTATGGACACTGGAGGATGTGCTAAATATCCTAGGATCACAGTTTACTTTTCTGCAAGGCTGGGTGGATGTTGACAATGTGCGTATATGGCCGTCTGGCGTCGCACTTGTTTATGAGGTGATTCACGTTTGGATAAAAGGAACTGTGTCCGTCCCAGCATGTTACCTCCAAGTGTTACTCTAGCTGGACTCGGAAAAGTCAGAACTAAAGGTGAAACGGTTCGTGGATTTTGAATGTCAAGCCCACTACTGTGCATACTGCACCCAGACACGTGCACCTTAAAAAAGAAAAATAGCAAAATAACTGGCGTTTATAAAGGGCCCAGGTCACATTGGGTCTAAAAGTGCAGGACTGGGCTGCACAGTGAACAGATTTTTAACGTTCGACTAGTTGTCACAGCCACGGAGCAATACAGTGTCGGAAGCGAATGTTCTTACCTTCAAACTATGACGTAATTTAGGAATTGTGTTAGTGGGGGTCTTAAGGAGGGGAAAGGTATTTTTTGAACAAAGGAAAATAAATAAATCGTATTTGTACCAATTGCTTGATTTAATGCATAAAAGGTACTTTATAAGAAGATAATTCGGGGGTGGCGCGCCAATTTCTGCCCCAGCTAATGCCTAACTCGATGGTAAATAATTTCTGATAGTTGTTTGCCAGAGTAATTAGGACTGCTCAGCGTCAAATCAATAACCTGTCTGTAAGGCACTTGTTGGCATATATTGAAAAGTGGTGCTAAAAGCGTGGTACCCAAATACCTTTCACCTTTTATTTTACATGTGTGAAGATATAGTTTGGCAAAGTTTTGACTGAAAAACTGTTTGCCTGATGCGTCTGAGGGTCGACCGTCTTGGCATGAATGAAATGTCGTGGCAATCCTGCTCGAATAATCCTTACTGAGGTCACATTTTAGAATTTCAGTTAATGCTGTGAATTAGCTCACTTACGGTACTTCGTAAACTTTGTGAATGAGTAAAGTACTGGTAGAAAGTATTGAAATACTCAAAACCGAAAATAAACTCTGCCATTGGATACGAATTTGAAATCAGACGCTATTTCTTACAAAAGGAGTATTGCTGATTTATACTTTCCTGAGAAATTAATCGCTAGCCTGGAATAACTCGGACAGGAGACAGCTTTATAAGCTCAATTCAAAAGTTAATATGATTATTTGGGTCGAAGTGAATCATCCACAACAAGATAACGGAGTAATATTCATAAACTGTTAAAAGAAAGCTAATAGTATATGCTGCATGATCTATGCTTTTGTGCTTTTACTAAACGTCAATTTTCAGTCAGCTACTGCGCCATAACTCAAGATTATTCCTCTTGACCTAGGCTTACGATTGAAACATAGTAACGTGAGGAGCGCGTGAGTTCGGTGTTTCGCAAGCTATTAACGCTTTCCCTAGGCAGTGGTAACCACGTTTAGGTTTTGCGGATAAGTCTGCAGACTACAGGGGAGTTAGACCAATGTCTTTATAGCGCGTCCATTGCCCATTATGCAGAACGGAGTTTCCGAGACGGAGTGATCTATAAATATGAAATCGGAGGAAGAGGCAAACCAGACATCGTAAGGCTAACATCAGTGGAGAGGGAGTGAAAACGATCAATAATTGACTGAAGATACGGAATAACTCTCTATATATTACTAGGTCAACATTGGTACGGAAATCACCACCACCACCGACAGTTCCCCCGTCGAGTTCGACGATGGGCAGCCGCGTGCTCCAGCAAGCCGCAGTAAACACTGACGCAAGCCGAAGCAGACACTCAGGCAAGCTGGGCAAGCTGCACGAAGGCTACAGCAAGCTGAAGCAACGCAGCGAACTACCACGAATGAAAACAAGAGTTAAAGCCGACTCGCGGGGAATCTACCCATTCGCTCGCTGCTCCCACCTCCGTTTCCATTGTAAAGGCAAAGTCAATAAGACCGGGGATGAAGGAGGGTGTGACCACCACCACCACCACCACC